TTTTATGTATATTATAAAATAGATTAGTTTGTTCATTGTTTTTAATAAAATGATTATTGTACAAAATATACAAGTTATTTCTCAATTGTATATGTCTGATGTATTCATTACATAGTGATGTTATAGTACAATTATTGTTTGTAAACATAAAAGAATAACCTTCCCTACATAGTAGCACTTGACTTATGAGGGAAAAGGTCATTTGTAGATAGTAATAAATGTTTTGTAATGTTATAATGCTTTTTTCTTGTATATTCTTTGGGATTTCAATACACATAGATCCAGCTCAATTAAGAGTCATTGTTAACCTATTTGCAATAGTTACAATTGTAGGAGTTATGTTGTGTACATCCATTAATTGAAATAGATAAGGAGTAGCATGTATTAATGTACTAGAATCGAGTAAATCCATCATTTGCATATAAGATTTCTTGTTAGCTATGATTGTATTTGTAAATATGTTGGTACATACCCAGGAAGCATATTGTTCGAATTGTTTGTCCTGGTTGCTCAGAATAAGAGCATAGGTGTTATTGTTCATTTCAATGTCACCTTCTTTTAATTTAACATTGTTTTTGTTTGGGTTTTCAATAATAAATGTGTTCATTGTGTTTTCCACAGTTTGATTTGTTTTATACACAATGTTAGCCTGATGTTTGGTGTGTGCAAGCTTTGTAGCTTCAGTAGGAGGTTTGCAGCATTCCTTAGAGAAATGTCCTGTTTTTCCACAATTGAAACATTTTGCTTTTGTTGGATTGAACAGATTTGGTGGATTGAATTTCCTCCACTTATTAGCTTTATACATTGTATTAATGTGTGCATTATTCTTTGTCTGATCATTGGAATCTTGTACTTGTTTAGCATAGTAATTGTTGTAGGCATTCTGTAATGTAAGGATTAGTTGCTTCAGTTCAACTTTCTTATGTTCATTGACTGGTTTGCCTTTGTTTTAGGCATCAGTAGATTGTATTATCATATTTACTATGTGTGTATATTGCTCAGGAGTAGTAAGCAATATTGCTGCTTTGTATGTAGAGTTGTGTGGTGGATCACTATTAGCAGACAGAGTTGTGTATACTTCCTCAAGTCTGTCTAATGTATGTCCAAAATGTTTTACATGGTCTCTACAAATAAACAGTACTGATTTGTTGATAGCCTTTTTACATACTGTCTGAGGGTTAAAGCATTCTTCAAGCACTTTCATTAACTGAGGGATAGACATATCAAAGTGTATATAGTTTGCCAATATTGTGTTGACAATGTTATTGACTATGCATGTATGAATGGCCTTAGCCATCTCCCTCTCAGCTTTGTTCTGCAGTTCATCCTTTAGTAAGTGTTTGAAGCATGTAGCTGTAACACTAGAAACAATGTAGTAGTGCCACATCTTGTAGTTTGCTTCAGTCTTAAGTATTGTAATGTTTTGACCAAAGTATTTAGGTACATCAGCTGGTTTACAGCACATATCTGTATGTGGGGGAACCATAATGCAAATGTGTGTGAATGTATGTGAGTAAAGAGTTTAGAGTGTATAGTGGATGTGTGTATGCAGGGAGCTCAAGGCTCATAACCTGTTAAGAGGGAGAACTTAAGGGGGGCACACATAGACAAGGGGTGAGGTGACAATTGACTGCTCAGTGTCTCTCGTCCTTATATTGTATGTATTCTAACTGAGACATTATGAAGTCATTGTCTCGTGGTTCGTCCGTTGATGAACTAATCATCTCATAATACTGATCAACTTCCTACACGTTCCAGCGTTCACCACGGACATCCTGTAACAGCATCCCTTCTAAAAATGTGTTCCACGACCCGCTATTCTCGTAAAGTCTCCAGATCTTCCATGATCCAACAAGATACTACACGTTGTCCTGTACATGCGTATATCCCGTGTATTTCGCTAAATGCTCTCTTCCGTCTTTTATCGGGTAGGCGTGTATGTCTTCGAATCTTCGAGACCTACGGGATAACGGACTTGACCTCATTACAGGGTAGCGTTTCTTGGTACGTGTACCGCGACGGATGCAGATAGCTGAGATTAGCTCATTCCAATCAGAAACTCTGTAGACCCCCTGTCATGGCCAGTGCTCTCGAAGCACTTGTCTGCTGTTCGAATTATTTTGTGGAGTTGCCCGCACTGTACGTGCTAAGCATTGCCCCCTGATTTCTTGAGTGAAAGCAGTTGTAGAATTTTACCAGGCTTTTACGGAGCCGCTTTGAAGGGGCGCAAGAAACGGATACCGAATGCGGTTAGATGGATGAGTGATTAAAGCGAGCCTCGTGATTTTTTTCCCACCCGGCTGACCGCACCGTCATTCACAGTCTGATGGAAATTTTCGAGGGTAGTCCGACTTTGACTTCTTGAATAAACACGCATCGCCCTCGTTGCCTTTTTCCACGGCCATCCTTCATCGATATAAAGGCTCGCAGTTCACCGTCTTTCTCGGCCTCCAGAATCTTCCTTCAGCCCATCGTCTTAACTCGTTTCAGGCGCAAAGGACACGATATTTGAGCCCCTTTGGCATTATCTCGCATCCTCAGTGCATGTACTCAAACCAGCTGAGCAGTACGCACAACAAGTATCGAGGTCTCAAGCATTCTGCCGCTCCGCTTCTGTGCAATTGACACCATTGTGAACGATGTCTCCTCAAACTTTGCACGTATCCAACTTTTCTTCTGGCTATAACACGCCGGAGTCGCAGCTCGAGTCCATCGTTCCTGTGCACCTGACTGCGGAGCGCCGTCCATACCAGATCCAGGTTGCGTCCGAGAACACGTCGTACTCGGACGAGTACATCACCGCCAAGTTCCATGATCGCGGTGCGAGCGTTGAGACACTTCCTGACGGTCAGTTCAAGATCACACCGACCGTTAAGGAATACGAATTCCAAACTCAGAGAAAGGTACCGAAGACTGGGTGAGTAATTTGTTTACTTTAAACTTCTAGAAGTGAATCTTATTCGTATCAACCCTAAATTTAGCCTGCTCATGGTCGGTCTTGGTGGAAACAACGGCACCACACTCTGCGCGACGATCCTCGCAAATCGTCGCAACATCTCCTGGCACACTAAGAACGGGATCCAGCAGCCCAACTACATCGGCTCCCTTCTTCGTGCCTCCACTGTCAGCATCGGCACCAATCCCGAAACCGGCAAGAACGTCTATGTCCCCATTGGAGATGTCTTGCCTATGGTACATCCGAATGATCTCGTCCTTGGCGGTTGGGATATTTCCGGTCTGCCTATGGACCAAGCAATGTCTCGTGCGCAGGTCCTCGATTGGGACCTTCAGCGCCAGGTTGCGCCGTGCATGGCTGAGTTGGGTGCACCTATGCCATCCATTTATTACCCCGACTACATAGCTGCGAACCAGGAGGCGCGCGCGGACAACGTCGTCCCAGGCACTGACAAGCATGCGCACCTCGATCACATCCGTAATGATATCCGCTCATTCAAGGCGAAACACGGCTTAGATCAGGTGGTCGTCTTCTGGACTGCGAATACCGAACGTTATAGTGACATTGTCCCGGGCGTCAACGATACTGCCGATAATCTTCTTGCGTCCATCAAGGTGTCTCATTCGGAAATTGCGCCCTCAACTGTCTTCGCCGTTGCATCAATTCTCGAGGGTGTTCCCTTCATCAACGGTGCTCCGCAGAACACGTTCGTTCCTGGTGTAATCGATCTCGCGGAACGTCACAAGGCATTTATCGGAGGTGACGACCTCAAGTCTGGTCAGACGAAGCTCAAGTCCGTCCTTGCCGAGTTCCTCGTCAATGCCGGTATCAAGCCGCTCTCAATCGCGTCGTACAACCATCTCGGTAATAATGATGGTCACAACTTGAGTGCAGAGCCGCAGTTCAAGAGCAAGGAGATCAGCAAGAGTAGCGTCGTCGACGACATGGTTGCGAGCAATGCGCTTCTTTACAAGCCTGGTAACCCCGAGGCTAAGGACGCCAAGGCGAAGAAGGGCGAGCATCCCGACCACATTGTCGTCATTAAGTATGTCCCGGCCGTCGGTGACTCCAAGCGTGCGATCGATGAGTATTACTCTGAGATCCTTTGCGGTGGTCGTTCGACAATCAGCATTTTCAATGAATGCGAGGTATGCAATGATATTATTTGCTCCCTCCATTGCTCATTTTCATTAAAAAATCGTAAATAGGATTCGCTCCTGGCGACACCCCTCATTCTCGACCTCACGATCCTTGGCGAACTTTTCACTCGCGTCAAATACCGTGACGTCTCGAAGTCCACTGAATTTGGACCGCTGTACTCAGTGCTCTCGCTGTTGTCGTTCATGCTCAAGGCGCCACTCGTTAAGCCTGGTAAGCTCCTCTTATCCTCACTTTCTCACACGCTACGTATTCAAACATTAATCGATTTTATTTAGGCACCGATGTCGTTAACAGCCTTAGTAGGCAGCGGAACGGGCTCGAGGCATTCTTGAAGGCCTGCATTGGCCTTGATGGTTCGTCGGACCTTATCCTTGGCACTCGTCTGTGGTGAAGGGAGGCGGTGGCTGGAGAATGCCTCTGAGCTAAGTACGGAGAGTTCTCAACAACTCTTTCGTTGCATGTGGTCCGGTCTGGACGGAACTGCAAGGGAACAGAAATGTGTATTCAACTACCTTTTCTTATTCAGTATTCGTAAACGTTTGTTATTTTTTTGATGATGATATTGCGTGAATCTATATGCGTCTGTGCGTCTTAGGGAGTGTTCCGCAGCTGCTGCGACTCATTATCAGATTGATTTATTAAAGGCTACGGAGATCTAACGGTAGTTCTACTTTGACAGCCGATTCGATTAATATTCATGAGCTACCCGAGCATATGTGATCTTTCTGTAGGTTCATCGTCAGCCCTTTCTCGATTCGGTCGATTTCGGCTTCTTGTCAGCTTCCTTCTGCAGTGCTGTTACACGTTCCTGAACTGGGATAACAATTAATTGTCGTACTCCAAGTTTAAAGTGATATCGTGATATACCTTTTGAGGCGATCAACTTATCGAGGTCTATTCCAGAGTCCTTCAAGTGCTTCCTAATCATACGTTCCTGCTCCTTATCTGGATTTTCGACGAAACTTTCTTTATGTTCGTCCCATTCAAGATCGTCTGCTGTGGATGATCGAGTAAGGGTAAGTTTGGGCCCTGTGCCGTGTGAACTAGACCTTTCTGCTATGTAATGTCGAATATCCTTCCTGTGTCTTTAGATATAAGAAAAGAGGTTAAAAATCAGGTGCTATTCCCCAATATGCTGCATAGAAACCACAACTGCATGACTTTATATCCTACTTTGTACCAGCGCGTAATATCAACTAGTGAATCATTCAGTGTTGTTACCCCTGCAAAAAAAGATGCTCCCATCTCGCTTGAGTGATCATTCCCGCTGGATTGATCAGGTTTGAGTGGAAATGGGAATGCACGCAGGAGAAAGTGACTAGAAACAACGTAAGCCTCCTTTGTTTGCAATGATGGGATTGCTTATTAATATTTGATTCCCATCAACCCCGTCATCTTCCGTCATTCCCTGGTGTACTGGCAGGCCAGAAAACACTAAATAGTCTCTCCCACCAGAATACTAAGCAATATTCCAACGTCCTTCTAAGGTCCAGCTCTATACAGACAATGTATACATTGAATCTCTATTAACAATACTTGTAATCTTATTACAAACTAAGTAGTACCTGATTCAATTTTGACAAGTCTAGATGGAGTTTTGAGTACTTTGCCAGTCTGGTGAAGGCAGAAGCTTTGCGGAAACAAAATGTGGGAGGCTGGGAGCACGTGCCAGCACACGTAGAGAACTCTCATTATCCCTCCTGCCAACACTAGTCTATTTTACTTCGTTAGACCCAATGAACCAGCAAGAGGCAGAAATATACCCTCGAGTACCTTACCTCATCCTCGATATATGAACTATTGCTATGAAAAGCATTCTACAACGTCGTAATTGCTACTGATTCAATTGGCACAACAGTGCCTCACCAGAATTGCTTGTCAACACCCAGCTCCCTCAGTCTTATAACGAGTCATGCACTGGTTTATATCTCGCTTGGTTAAAGGTAAACGTGATACATTCGGAGTACTAAAAGTTGTCTTAGATCGACCCAATGAAGGCCACTTAGGCGACAATCACTATCGATTTCATCTGCCTCCTTTGCCAGATCCAACACAGCATCCATACCCCCTCAAGTCAACGTATTCCTTTTCGATCATTTCAGCCACCAAGAGTCGCCAAGCTTAGCCACCGGATCTAGCCCGAAATGTCGGAACCCCTGCGATAGAGGAACTAATCAAGAGAATATTATACTCTAAGAAAAGTTGTGCACCTACCTTGTTCTGCAGTAGCGCTACTGCATTGGGTCGTTGCTCTGGATCTTTTTCTAACATCCTCTTTAAGCACCTGGGAGCTGTGAATAAGGATCAGTACGATGTTTCCTGCTGCAAATTGCCTGGTGTGCATTTACCATATACTGAAAATGCTTTAAATTCCGGAAGGTCAAAATCAGGAGTTTCGTCCCTAATTTTATCTAGATATTCTCTGTCTGGGACCTGTTCACCCAGTTTGAGGTACAGTTTCCTACCCAAAAGTACCTCATAAATCGACAAGCTGTAACTTTTTACCAAGTACATTCTCGACAGATTATAACACGGGTACTGACCCCAGAGAAAACACATCAGCTTTATCATTAACTCTATTGCTTACAGTAAATGACCTTCAGGGCTTCTGTACTTGTACCTGCCTTGGCTTTTTGTCCTCCTGTCAGGCTGTTCCAAAAACGCAGCCCTGTTTCAATTTAGCTCCAAGTGGGTATATCTAGATTCTCTACAAGAAAGAAAATACTTACGACCCGAAGTCAGACAGTTTTGCCCTATCACCGTTCTCACCAGCACGCAGTATGTTGTTTGGCCTAGTAGCGTTGAGCAGTCATTAAATGTATCAGCCCATATAGTCATGTTCTTACTTAACATCTCTATGCAATATATTCACAGAGTGGATGATGACAAGTGCAACGAGTATATCCCTGTCATCAGAAATGTGTTAAGTGGACACTTGTTTTTATAAAGTTTTTATAAACAATGATCAGTTTTACCTTGCCCAGATCGCAACTTGCTTCTCCCTTTCTCTGCCCTTAGCAGAGTCAGTAGCATACAGTGCAATGTCCTTCCTTTCAAGATGCTCGAATATAAGGCATCTAGATCCCTCTATATCTCCTGTCCCAAAGTATTTGACCTATATTCGAGGGAAGAGTGATTAGATATCAATTCTTGGAAACCACAAATGTCTGCCTGACGATATACTCATACGCCGATTCATTCAGATGTTCTTTGAGATAATCATGGATTTTGTTTTCACGTTCTATGGTTTGTACTGATTTTGCCTGGTCCTTCGAGGCTTCGATCCTGCCTTCTTTGCTACTACTTTCTTGATAATATCCCTTCCATTGGCAATTTCTTCGTACAGCTTATTACAGTAAGTATTAGTTGAGTTATGATAGATTTTGTATTTGTGTGTACTTAGTGTGACGAAAATCACGAATCACATGTGTGACAATATTTATGAAAACAACAGTAATCTGCATTTAAGTAGTATATTAGATAGTGTTTTATACCATCTTCTACTAGCTTGTTTTAATCTGTATAGTGCCTTTTGTAATCATAATATTTGTCCATTCTGTAATCTGTCTATTAAGTTACCTGGAGGAGGTTTAACATATATTTCTTTGTCTTCTGTTAATTGTCTGTATAGATATGCTGATTTAATATCTATCTGATGTATTTCATAATTATTAGATGCTACCCATACTAGTATTAATTGTACTATAGATAGTCTAACAGTAGGAGCAAATAAATTGTCTGTATGATAGTCAAGACTGTCAATCTGATAGTTTCCTTGAACTACTAATTGTGCTTTGTATTTTTCTATACTATTGTCAGCATATTATGATTTTCTAATTGTTTTATTTTGTCTTTCATAGCTTTTATCTATGAATCACAATCCAGACATTGGATTGCTTCATAAAATGAAGTTGGATCCAATTGTATTTCACTTATTTTAGTATTAAATTCTGTTAAATGAATGGCAATATTATCTTTGTCCTTTTTGCTAAGTGCATACATGTGTTTTGTTACACATTTATTCTGCATGTGTTGTTCAAGCTCAATAGTACATTCTGTCAGTTTCTGTTTCTGTTCCAATCAATGTACTTTAGGTTCTGCTTCTTTTTTGGTTAATTTAACTTTGTCATCCATTAAGTCTGTTGATTCTACTACTTTTCCTTTTTTATTAGGATCAGTGTTATCTGTATTGTTGTTGTCTGTTCTTGTTATTCTGTTGTCTGTTTTGTTATTTTTAATTATTAAACACTTGTTTGTATTATTGTTTGTATTGTCTATTTTCTCCCCTTCAATTTGAGGAGGTTTACCTTCAAGAAATTGAATATTTTGTTTAATAGTAATTTTATTATTGTGTCAAGTTTTATAGCCTTTACTTTCATTGTCTAATCCTATCTAACAAGCAATTATACCTTACTGTTGTATTTTTATAGGATTTTTGTTGTGAATGATAATATATTGACTGAATTTGTGTATATTATCAATTGTTCTGTGGGTTCTGTAACGTTTGTAATGTGGAGTGTTATAATTTAATGTAGCACACAGTGTTCTATTATGAATATAAGTAATATGAATTACTGCTTTGGCCCATAATGTGAACAGTAGTTTAGTAGATGTTAGATATGCTCTTACACCTCTAAATATAGTTTTATAGGTTTGTTCTACTATTCTGTTCTGTTGTAGAGTATGATGTACTGTTAATCTTTGTTTTGTTCCTTGTGAATCCAAATATTGTTGGAAATCTTTACTAAGGAATACAGTATTGTTATTACTTTGTAATAGCTTTATTTTTACTCTGTACTGTGTAAATATTTTAGTTGTCCATTATACATATTATATATATGTATTGGATTTTGTTTGTAATTTGAGTATTATGTACCAACAAGTAGAATTGTCTACAATTGTTAATAAATAGTATATGTTCTTATATGCATACAGTTCAATAGGACTAATGATATCAATATGAATATGATCTCCAAATTGATTTGTAAGAGGAGATTAATGTAGTTTTGGTATTAGTGTATATTTAATATTTGCTTTTATACATTCAATACATTCTTTTTCTTTGTAGTTCATTATTTTAGTTGATAGTACACTTGGTTGTGTTTTTAATAATTGTTTGATATAATTGTAACTTATATGTCTGAGGTGTTTATGTATATTATAAATAGATAGTTTGTTTATTGTTTTTAACAAGTGATTATTGTACAAAATATACAAGTTATTTCTCAATCATACATGTCTGACATATTCATTACATGGTGATGTTATAGTACAAGTATTGTTTGTAAACACAAAAGAATAGCCTTCCCTACATAGTAGTGCTTGACTTATGAGGGAAAAGTTCATTTGTAGATAGTAATAGACATTTTGTAATGTTATAATGTTTCTTTGTTGTGTATTCTTCAGAATTTCAATACACATAGATCTAGCTTGATTAAGAGTCATTGTTGATCTATTTGCAATAGTTACAATTGTAGGAGTTATGTTGTGTATGTTTGTTAATCAAAATAGATAAGGAGTAGCATGTATTAATACACTAGAATCAAGTAAATCTATTGTTTGTGTATAGGATTTCTTGTTAGCTATGATTGTATTTGTAAATACATTAGTACATACTCAGGAACTGTATTGTT